GTTTTCTATTTCTTCCTGTTCCAGTTTTGGTAGTTTGTGGCTTTCCAGGAATGCGTCCATTTCTTCTAGATTGCCTAATTTATTGGCGTAGAGCTGTTCATAATATGTTTTTAAAATCGTTTGTATTTCCTTGGTGTTGGTAGTGATCTCTCCTTTCTCATTCATGATTTTATTAATTTGAGTCTTCTCTCTCTTCTTTTTAATAAGGTTGGCTAATGGTTTATCTATCTTATTAATTCTTTCAAAGAACCAACTCCTGGTTCTGTTGATATGTTCCACAGTTCTTCTGGTCTCCATTTTGTTGAGTTCTGCTTGAATCTTTATTAACTCTCTTCTTCTGCTGGGTGTAGGATCTATTTGCTGTTTTTTCTCCAGCTCCTTTATGTGTAAGGTTAGCTTTTGTATTTGAGTTCTTTCCAGTTTTGGAATGGATGCTTGTATTGCGATGTATTTCCCTCTTAGGACTGCTTTTGCTGCATCCCAAAGATTTTGAACAGTCGTATCTTCATTCTCATTAGTTTCCATGCATCTTTTTAATTCTTCCTTAATTTCCTGGTTGACCCTTTCATCTTTTAGCAGGATGGTCCTTAACCTCCACGTGTTTGAGGTCCTTCCAAACTTCTTGTTGTGATTTAGTTCTAATTTCAAGGCATTATGGTCTGAGAATATGCAGGGGACGATCCCAATCATTTGGTATCGGTTCAGACCTGATTTGTGACCCAGTATGTGGTCTATTCTGGAGAAAGTTCCATGTGCACTTGAGAAGAATGTGTATTCAGTTGAGTTTGGATGTAAAGTTCTGTAGATATCTGTGAAATCCATCTGGTCCAGTGTATCATTTAAAGCTGTCGTTTCTTTGCAGATGTTGTGCTTAGAAGACCTATCGAGTATAGAAAGAGCTAGATTGAAATCACCAAGTATAAGTGTATTATTATCTAAGTATTTCTTCACTTTGGTTATTGATTGATATATTTGGCAGCTCCCACATTCGGGGCATATATATTGAGGATTGTTAAGTCCTCTTGCTGGATAGATCCTTTAAGTATGATATAGTGTCCCTCTTCATCTCTCACTACAGTCTTCGGGGTAAATTTTAGTTTATCTGATATAAGGATGGCTACCCCTGCTTTCTTTTGAGGACCATTTGAATGGTAAATGGTTCTCCAACCTTTTATTTTCAGGCTGTAGGTGTCTTCTGTCTAAAATGAGTCTCTTGTAGACAGCAAATAGATGGGTCCTGCTTTTTTATCCAGTCTGAAACCCTGCGCCTTTTGATGGGGTCATTAAGCCCGTTCACGTTCAGAGTTACTATTGACAGATATGAGTTTAGTGTCATCATGATATCTATTTAGTCCTTGTTTTTGTGGATTGTTCCACTGAACTTCTTCTTAAAGGGGAATTTTAAGAGTCCCCCTTAAAATTTCTTGCAGAGCTGGTTTGGAGGTCACATATTCTTTCAGTTCCTGCCTGTCTTGGAAGCTCTTTATCTCTCCTTCCATTTTGAATGAGAGCCTTGCTGGATAAAGTATTCTTGGTTGCATGTTCTTCTCATTTAGGACCCTGAATATATCCTGCCAGCCCTTTCTGGCCTGCCAGGTCTCTGTGGAGAGGTCTGCTGTTACCCTAATATTCCTCCCCATAAAAGTCAGGGACTTCTTGTCTCTTGCTGCTTTAAGGATCTTCTCTTTATCTTTGGAATTTGCAAGCTTCACTATTAAATGTCGAGGTGTTGAACGGTTTTTATTGATTTTAGGGGGGGATCTCTCTATTTCCTGGATCTGAATGCCTGTTTCCCTTCCCAGATTGGGAAAGTTTTCAGCTAGGATTTGTTCAAATACATATTCTGGCCCTCTGGCCCTTTCGGCGCCCTCGGGAACCCCAATTAAACGTAGGTTTTTCTTCCTTAGGCTGTCATTTATTTCCCTTAATCTGTCTTCATGGTCCTTTAATTGTCTGTCTCTTTTTTCCTCAGTTTCTCTCTTTGCCATTAACTTGTCTTCTATGTCACTCACTCGTTCTTCCACCTCGTTGACCCTCGTCGTTAGGACTTGTAGTTTGGATTGCATCTCATTCAGTTGATTTTTAATTTCTGCCTGATTGGATCTAAATTCTGCAGTCATGAAGTCTCGTGAGTCCTTAATGCTTTTTTCTAGAGCCACCAGGAGCTGTAGAATAGTGCTTCTGAATTGGCTTTCTGACATTGAAGTGTAATCCAGATTTTGTAACTCTGTGGGAGAGAGGGCTGTTTCTGATTCTTTCTTTTGAGGTGAGGTTTTCCTGCTAGTCATTTTGCTCAGTGCAGAGTGGCCAAAAAGCAAGTTGTATTGGGAAAAGGAGAAAAGAGAGAGAGAGAGAAGGAAAGAAAAGAGAAAAAGAAAAAAGGAAGAAAAAAGAAGAAAAAGAGAAGAAAAAGAAAGAAAGGTGAAAAAAAAGGTGGTGGGGGAAGCAATCAGAAATCAAAAAGAAAAAAAAAAACAACAAAACACAAAAACCACGGGGAGTATCTTCTGATTCTGTAGACTTCAAGTCCCTTGACTTCCCCTGGAACTGGTCCGTCCAGCTGGTCTTCTGGGGAGGGGCCTGCTGTGCTGATTCTCAGGTGTTAGCACTTGGGGGAGCTGCTCCGCCCCCTCCTGCTGCAGGGCTCAGCGGGGGTTGTTCACCCCGTGAGGCCCCAGGAGGAACAGCCCCAGTGGCTACGGCAGCCCTGGAAGCCTGGATTCAGCCTCCGCAGTAACTCCGGGGCTCTCTCGTCCGCAGGGCCTGGAGGCTCCGGGGCGGGGCCGCTGATCTGCTCAGCTCGGGGCAGGAGCGTCCTCGCTGTCCTGGGCCCTCCCGGCCTCTGCCTGTCCCGGGGGAGGCCGGATCCTGGGCTGTGTCCCGGCGCCCTGTGCTCCGGGTCCTGCGCTGTGGGATTCGCGCTCCCGCCCCGCAGCCCCCTCCGCTGGAGCCGCCGCCCGAGCCCCTCCGAGCTGCTCCGGCGGTCCCGCCGTGCGCGCTGCAGCCCTTAGGGAGCTCGGCGCACTCTCCGGGGCGCAGGTGTCTGTTAGTGTCCCCGGGAGCCCGAGGGCATCCCCGCCCTCCTGGGTCCTGCTCCAACTCCCTGCGAGCCCCTTTCCGCCCGGGAAGGTTGGTGCAGCTCCTGCTCCTCCGGGACGGGGCTCTCCTGTCCTGGGGACACTCGCCCCGGCCTCAGCCCGGCTCCTCGCGGGCCCCTCCCCCTCGGAGGCCTTTTGTTCCTTTATTTCTCTTTCCCCGTCTTCCTGCCTTGATAGAAGCGCGGACTCTTCTCACTGTAGCGTTCCAGCTGGTCTCTCTTTACATCTCAGGCCGAATTCGTAGATTTTCAGGATGGTTTGAAGGTTATCTAGGTCATTTGGTGGGGACAGGTGACCTGGGGACCCCCTCCTCCGCCGTCTTGCCCCTCCCTCCTGAAACTGTCTTTGTTCTGCCTTAAATCCTGGAAGAGAACTTGCCAACAGAGAACACTAACAGAGCAGGCTGCTGGCATGTGGTGAATGTCCTCTCAGGGAGGAGGAAAGAAATCACAAAAATTAATGTATGTCTTTCATGTTCCTGATCGCTTGTTAAAGATCCCATCTAGCCCTCCTTAGAGGTGTCCTGGAGTATAGATATTTTAAACAGTCTAAGTTTACAGGCAGGCCGTATAAACTTAACATAATGTGGAGGCATTATTTGACATAGAATTTTTGACACCATTTAAAGCTTTGCAATTACTTAATTAGTCAATTAGCCCACATGCCATCTATTTAAAGATTCTTTGCCTATTTAAAAGAGGTGCACATTTTATGTTGTCATTTACTGCCCTCTAAAATATTCTTGCAACAGGCATTTTGACTATATCACATAATTATAGTACAAGGCACAACTTACAGTTTGCTTAAAATCCTAAGTACAGTTATTTATCCCAAAAGTAATAAATGAGTAAATATCTAAATTATCATAATAAACTACATAAACAAAATCATCTAAATAAACCAAGAAAGGAGAAGAAAAGGAAAGGAAAATAGGAAAACGGGAGGGAGAGAAAGAAAGGGGTAGGAAGGGAAATATGAGATTCTCCTTAGAATAAATGAAATGGCAAACCAGTGATATTTAGATGGCTGGATAAGTTAACAATTTCATCATAGGTCCATTTCATTTGAACTTTCATTCAAGTTATGACTCAAACTCTGTACTGTAGATCTTCATTTTTCTTAGCTTCCCCATCTACATAAATTTCCCCTCTAGATATTTTGTGAAGTTGATTTTTTGATATCAAGCAAAATGTACATATTCTACAGTGATGGGTTAAGAGATCTGGATCCTAGGGAATTCGTCTCTATCTCAGTTCTTAAAAATTGACTTATGACATTTGATCTCCTTTTTTTTTTTTAATCTTGTATCCTGTTTTTTGAAGTTTCTATTCCCTTGGCACACACTCAGGGCTTGGTTATTCCCCTGCCCTTCCAACTCAACTCTGTTAAGGTTGACCATGCCTACAGCCTTTATAATAGTGCTGATTCTCTGCCCATGAGTCATGTGCCTCATCCCATCTCTGGCTTCAGCAGTTGACCTTAAAGTTAACGATATAAAATTGTCTCACTTCACACCAAAGCAACACTATGGCAGGTGCATACATTTTCAATTCTCAATCATCTTTTACATCAGACTATGGTGTCATTATCTCAGGAAGGGACCTAAGTGCCTATAAAATGTATTACATTCTGCATGATACACTGTGATGTTGTTTCTCCCAGAATCTAAAAGGAGAAAGCCACATGCCCATCTGCTTTTAGCTTTTCCCTCTACCTGAGGTTTCCATTTTTCTCATTAATTTCTACTTTTCTTTATGGACCAAAGCTCAGAAATGGAAAGTGATGAAAGTTTGGTTTTCTGATAGGAATAGATGATTTTCTTTGTTTTGTTTTTAATCATCCAAAGCCTTCTCTACATCCATCACTAGCACGAGTCTTTTTTTTTCTTTTGTTTCTAAACAGAACCCACACACCTTCACCATGAAGTAATGAAGTATCAAGGTCTTATTTTAAGCATGAGAAGACTACAAAGGATGAAAAGTCAATAAAGGAAATCTATCCAGCAATTTCATAAAAATTTTAAAGCTACTCCTAAATTATTTATCCTGCATGTCATGATTTATAAAAATAAAAACAATTTATAGAGGACAGAACTATTATGTACCAATATTTATCATCTATTTTCTGCATATTTGGATAAAGAAGATGTGGTTTATGCATACAATGGAATATTCCTCAGCCATTAGAAACGACAAATACCCACCATTTGCTTCAACGTGGATGGAACTGGAGGGTATTATGCTGAGTGAAGTAAGTCAATTGGAGAAGGACAAACAGTGTATGTTCTCATTCATTTGTGGAATATGAATAATAGTGAAGGGGAATATAAGGGAAGGGAGAAGAAATGTGTGGGAAATATCAGAAAGGGAGACAGAACATAAAGACTCCTAACTCTGGGAAATGAACTAAGGGAGGGTGGAGGGGGAGGAGGGCTGGGGGTGGGGGTGACTGGGTGACGGGCACTGAGGGGGGCACTTGACGGGATGAGCACTGGGTGTTATTCTGTATGTTGGTAAATTGAACACCAATAAAAATTAATTTATTAAAAAAAAGCATAATTTCGATTATCAATAAATACATTAAAAATCAAAATTACTAATTCAAGGAACTCAGTATATTATATCTATGGTGCTGAAAAACTCCAAGGTCAAATCTGTGATTTCTAATATATGGTTCTGGTCATTGCTTTCTTATCAATGAACATGCTGTACTTTCCATTAAAACATCAATTTACTACAGATGCTTATGTACCTGCTTCTCAGATTCAACAATTCCATTCCTAGAGAGATGCCCATTAAAAATGGGTACATGGGTTGATCTAAAGATAATACCATATGATTTCACTCACATGTGGAATTTAAGAAACAACAACAAACAAAAGACAGAAAGAGAGAGAGAGAGAGAGAAACCAAGAAGCAGACTCTGAACTATAGAGAATATACTGATGGTTATCAGGGGGGAGATGGGTGGGGGATCAGTGAAATGGGTGATAGGGATTAAGAACACACTTATGATTAGCACCGAGTAATGTATAGAGTAATTGAATCACTATATTGCACACCTGAAACTAATTTAACATAACGTGTTATATATACACTCACATTAAGATTTTTAAAAACTAATAAAATAATTAAGAAAAATATATATCAAAATTTTCTCATTATCTTCATCCCTGATTGGCAAAAACTGGAATTGAATTAAATGCAAAGGAGTGATAAAAATGTGGCCACATGCCACATTGATTAATCTCACAGACACTATGTTTAGAGAAAGGAAAAATGCACATGTGTGGAATTCCATTTGTATGAAATTCAAAACATCGGTAAGGTTAATATGTGGTCAGGAGACAGAAAATGTGTTATTTCTGATGTGACAGGGAAGGCCATTAACAAATCTCTCAGGAGTGCTAGGTATGTTCCATATCTTGATAGCAGTTACGTGATTATCTACACATATAAAAATACTTGTACATGTACAAAATACAAAGTAAATGCTTGTGGATTAATTCATTTCGTATTTTGCACGCTTCATCATATTAATGTATACCCCTTCCCTCTGAAAGAGGAAAAAGCCTAAACAATAGGCTTTAAACTCATGTGTTTTTTTTCTGGAGGAAAGGCAAGGTATAAGAGATTTCATAATAAAATATTAACCTTTTTTCCCTAGAAGGTTATTCATAGCATAATCATATTAGTATCTGAATTGATTACTACTTTCCTTTGTCTCTTTAGATGTTATTAATGGCAAGAAGATTGACATGTGAAACTAACTCAGAGTGTTTAAATAAATTCTTAACCTCATAATACTTAATAGGAGAGCATATGGAAATTTCAGGGTCCTTGGGGTTAGTGGACCTATATTCATGAATGTTACTCTTGTCATGTTCCAGTTGTGTGAACTTGAGCACCTCTTTTAACCTTGCTAGAGTATCTTTTAGTTTTCTTCTCTGTAGAACTAAATACTTTTAATACCTATTGCATAGGTATTGAGTTAAAAGGAATAAAAGATTAAATGATTAAATAATAGATTAAATGCCTAATAGAGTAAATGATAAAAAACGTCACCTAGCACGTAGTTGTCCTGTATCTGTTAAATATCACCTCTGCATATTTTCAGAAAGAAGTGGAATGGTAAGGACAAAGGCGGAAGTGGAAAGATAAATAAGACTCAGCCTCTGATTTTTGTTCATGTACAATCAGTCACAGTGAAAGTAGGACACATGTGTGCCTATAATTAAAGATATAGTAAAATAGTTATATAAGGAGTGCTACAAAGTAGTAGGGTGATTAAGCATAGAAGAGCTTTCCTTTGGGGTTCAGGGACAAATACATTTGAGGCGGTCTTTTAAAAATAATTGATATTTACACAGGTACATTAGGTAAATGTTATATATGTAGGAATGCATAACACCTCTAGGAACCAAAGATTTAATCCAAATGTAGCATAAATATTTAAAATGTATGGCAAATAGCAGATATAGCAATAGAAAGTAGGGTGGGCTACATAGGTCACAGGCAGGTTGTAAAATAAGTTCTATATATGTCAACGGAAAAAAATAGTTCCACATTATTTTATACATGAAATAACACAAATATCATTTTTCCTCCTTCACTACACAATTTACACTTAGGACGTTATTATAAGTGTAATAAAATAGTAAGAGTAATGAGAATGCATGTAGGAGGATTAAAATGATTATTTTTAATTCCTATGAATTTAGGCAATTAACCCTTTAAAGATGCAAAAGAAATAATCTTTCCAAGACAAATTTCTTCATTTGTATATCCAGATCAGAAGATAGTCTCTGATACAATCCAGTGAGAACAAGAGTTGACTGCTCTGCTGTAGCCTGAATATTTTTATGTCCTTCCCAAATTGGTATGTTGAAACCTAATCCCTAGTGAGATGGTATATGGGGGAGGGGTCTTGGGAAAATAATTTGGTCACAAGAGTAGATTTCTCACATATGGGATTAATGCCCTTAAGAAAGAGACCACAGAGAGCTCCCTTATCCCTTCTGCCACTGTGTGACATATGCCATGAGGACACAGCAAAAGATAGCTGTCTATGAATCAGGAAGTGGACCCTCTCATCAAACATCAAATCAGCTAAAGCCTTGATCTTGGACTTCCCAGCCTCTAGAACTGCAAGAAATAAATGTCTGTTGCTTAAGCCACCCAGTCTATGTATTTGTGTTATATCAGCCCAAAGGAACTAAAACAACTGCTAAAATGGGAGAGACTTACTCACTGGACTTTCCTTTAGACCCAGGTGAATATGATTCTCAGGACTCTAGGGAGATCTTATTTAGCGATGAGATCAAAGACCTTAAGACTCATATATTGGTACAATAGGACTCTGCTTTCCTCTGAAGTCCCTAAGATAATAACAGCTTAGCCCTGCATCTGAGAACTGACATCTTTACCCTCTGTGAGCTGCCTTTTTCCCTCTTGCCTTGATCTCTACTCTCCTATCATTCTTCCTTCTCTTCCACCCTCCTCTTCTCACCCTCTCTCTGCACACACACAGAAACATATGCACACAAACTTTGGCATTTTGGTGGTAAAACTGTCATTTGCTATTTCGTCTAACAATATGTCTAGCATCAAGTTAAATTTAACGTATTTCTTTACAGTCAACATTCTGCCTATTGGAAAATTATCATCGCTTTCCTCCAAGCTAGAACTATTCTCTTAAAATAATGGCTTATTGCAGAAATACTATAGGTACTCAACATTAGAAATATGAATAGTGCTGCTGCAATTCACCTGTTTGTTAACAATCCTAATGAGCATTTGTCAGTTTGATCTAAAAGCAATTATAGCAATTCATTCTTTCTTACACAGATCCTGGAAAGATATTTCAGAACACCTTGAAAATGAGTGATCTGAAATGTCTTACTAACATGAAACAAATTAATACTTAGAAAAAGAAACATGAATATTTGACAATAATGAAGACAATGTTTTTGTTATTCTGAATGCAACTTTTATCTAGGCCATATCTGCTTAGTGATCTAAGTTTTGTGGGCCTTGAAGTCTATTAAAATCATGGAACCTCTACAAGAATATAAGATTATAAACATAAAATTAGGTACAGGGCTTTGGAAGAGCCAGTACAAGTGAATGATCTTGAAGCTTGAATTTTGTTAAGTTCAGGGAAAATTCATCCCAACACACCAGCTTAAGTGTGTGCAACTTATTTCTGAACACACACAAAAGCATGCTGACATTTTCTTAGATTTCCTCTGATCAAACATTTTTTAGGAAGCCTGTAAAATAATACATTGAAGTTTTTTTTATAGAGGTCATATGATCACTACGAATTTAAATCTAATATTTTTGAAGTGCAATGATGCTTATTCATTGTGTACCCTAACCTTATACACATCAGTGTTCTTACCTTTAATTTATTTCTAAGAAATGCCTATTCTACATAGTTCAATAAACAGTATAGTTCCTTTTAATTTATTCTTAGTTGTATATTACTTCTAATCATTATCACTTTCTTGTTGATAATTTTCCTTATAGTTTGTGTCTCTCTTTTAACATGTAGCACATTCTATTTATTTGCCCAATTTCTTGACAAATGAACTCTTGTCCTTATATAAAAACAAGTTTCCTAGGATGATGTTCTGGCTTCACTACATGGGTCTGGGAGAAGGAAAAAAAAAAAAAGTACCCACTTCTAGCTGGTTGTAGAACTTTGTGTGCTTGCTTGTCCATCTCTTCTACACTCAAGAGTATCTTCGTTCTTTTCCTGACCATTATATCAAATCAACCCCAGGCAAAAGCTTTTTCTGAATTGAAACTGAATTGAGTTCTTCTGTTAGTCTGTATTTCAAAGCTTCATTCAAAATTGCTCTGAAGAAATTATTTTGCCAGCATCCTCACCCTTTTATTTTCTTATTGACAAATAGTTTTTTGTTTTCCTCTCAGTTATCCTAAACATTATTCAAAAGATTAAAAAAAAAAACGTTCTCACAGTTGGAAATACAGATAGTTCTTCATTTATAATCTACGAAGGAACCCTGATGAGCTCATTATCATGACTACTATTAAATTCCTAGTGAAATAAAAAAAAACTATTGAAACAAAAATCAACAGAGTTCATAAAAATATGTCTTGAGAATGAATTGATAGTCTCCACATGTTTTGCATTATTTTAAATCTACATATATTTACAAATATGTAAAAGTAGTGGCATGAAAATCTTGGTAAGAACTGAGACCTTAGTGTGCATTGGTCAAATCTCCTGCTCCTATAAAATATTTGGCAAAAGGGGTCTATTTACTTTTAATAATGTAAAAATGACATTTAAAAATTCTGTTAAGTTGGATGTGGTATTTTGT